TATTCCTGGATATACTTTCAGAATATTAAATAAATTTCAAAATTGATTTGCATATCAGGAGTATAACAGCCGCTTAACATTAAAATTCAAAGGAAACCAAAAACAAAAACCAAAAGAAACAAAATAATAAAGTAAAGAAATGGGTACTTAAAATTGAGAAAATAAATTTTTATTTTTTCGAAAAATATAAAATTTTACAAAAATGTACATGGTGTCCTGATTTTTAATAAAGCTAATTAAAATTGCACATGTATATAGCATCCAAAATTATACCGGCATTTAAACATGGACCACGTTCTTTTTAAGCGCATACCTATAACACTCCCATCTACTCCAAATTGAATTGAGTATATTGGTGTATAAAAGAGTAAGAGTATATAAAAGAGTAGTAATCAGAGTTGTCAATATTGTTTTATTACAAACAGTGCTGATGAAGAATATAAGAGAGTTTTCAATAATAAAAATTAATTGCGGTAAAATATTGCCCCACTTAGGTAAATTTACTTTCCCCTGATCGGGCGCCAGTACTATTTTTTCAATGGATAGAATGCTTATTCCGTTTCATAGTCGTGCAATTAACTAAATGCAAAACCAATTTATATTTTTTTTTATATTCTTTTATAAATATTTTATAAATTATAAATGCTGTCGACCATTCATGTCATCCTACATGCATATAAAAACATTCCAATATATAACAGAATAAAAAATTTTCAATTAGTACCTAGATAGCAAATGTATGTACGTATATAATATGTTATATATTATATAACACTAATTTTAGAATATAAAAAAAAAATAAAAAATGAATAAGAAATCATGCTGAACGAGATTTCTCTCATATAAAAATTTTCCATTTCAGTTTCATTTACTTGGTTGGTGGTTGATGGTAATGTAACTTTTTATGATTTTGTATTTTTTTAATACAGAAAAGATTTTAATTAGAAATGGAACATTTTAAATGACAAGTATTACATATTAATAAGAGAACCATTTGGTAGGTGCTTTAAATGAAAAATTGTTTTTCCCTTGTTTTTTTTTAAATTATCATTAAAAATCCTAAAATATTTTCTTTAGCTGAGTTTATTTTGCGTAACGATTTGTCATGCTTTATAAAATACATGTTCGACCATTAAAAGTTTTTAATATATTGGGCGTTTATTTCAGACAATTTTATTGCTGTATGAATTTTAAAATCTGATAAAAATAAGCAGAAGAATAAAATAATATTTACCTTAGAACTTTAAATATCAAACTTTTCAAATGTAATGCGAAATATTTAGAACTTGCGACTTAGACTAATTGTAGGTATTCTTCAGCTAGACCCTTAATAAAATGACTATAATTTGTAGTTTTATTTGTACTGACGCCCGAAAAGGCGAACTAAATTTTATTCTAAATTGTATAGCATACTCATGCGACAACTCATAGTACATAAATATTACATTGCGTAATATAAAATTTTGTTTCTTCTGCTCATAAAATATTAACACAAAATTTTTTTGTTCTCCTGCTCGGGCACCAGTATGCATTCATTTTTTATAAATTTTAACGTGTTTATGCTCCTTTTTAATTATTTTTGCCTTCCTTTTTTGACTAAATTTTGTACATGATTTGACAAGCAAAAAAAAAATTATTTTCTTCGTTGAAAATTAATTACTTTTTTAATTAAAAATTAATTTTTTTTTTATAAAATACCATAAATTTGTAATTAATAAGTGAAATATTAGCTTTGAAGTAATAGTTTAGTTCACAAAAAATTATATATGCTTTTCATTTTATAAATGCTTTCTGGCCTGAAATAATTGCTTACGAGTAATACTTTGGTTTTCAACTTTTTTGTGATAAATATATACAAAGATATTACATAATATTTATAATTGTTATATACGAAAATTTATAAAATACAATACAAAAAAATTTCAAAACCCAAATAAGCAAAACCGCTAATTAACATATGCATAAATTTTGAAAGAAAGTTAAAAGAGATACAAAATCAAAAGCTATTATAAAAAACATCGATATTATTTACTTGTAAGTAGCTTGCCATATATTTTGAAGCATCATTAATTTACGGTAGTTCCATGATAAATTTAATAATAAAGTAATCACTATTATGCAACAATAGCGTAATTTTTCGCTAAGAAATTCTGTCATTTTCAAAAAAGTGTTGTGATACTTCCCACTTTATTACAAAACTCTCGAGATTGAAATTATAGCAGAAATTAAACTAAAATTGTTATTCATAATTTAGTTTTTTTTGAGAATTCAAATCTTAAAATAAACAACTTATTATTGCAATTTTAAAATAACTAAAATGTAAACAAATAAATTTTTGTCATCAAATTTCCCAAAAAAAATTTGTGGTTGGTATTTGAACTCATTCAATATAATATTATTATGGAAATTCCACTTTCTTTATGAAAATACTATAAAATGTATTCCAAATTATAATTCCAGAAATTATATAAACAATAAAAAACCCAAAAAAAATTTTTTCAATTCGGGCTAAAAATAATATCGAATTTTTTAAAAATTAAAAACATTGACATCTTAAACTTAACGCCATTAGCAAAATTACTGGAATACTTAAAACAAATATTTATTTATTATTAGCTATATAGGGAAAAATTATTTTTTATTGGTATACTTACAATAAAATACATATACTTGAACCAATTAGGTCTAGTCGAGAATTTTAATAATATCTGTTTTACTTTCTTCAAATATTATGAAACAAGTTCAATTATTGGGAAACAAAACCGATATTATTGCAAAACAAATTGAACTCTCGCGAAACAAAGCGAGTCTCAGAAACTACCAGAAGAACTGAGAAATTTTAATTTTAAAAATCACATACAAATTATACGGCAGGCCAAATAGATTTTTAAAAAAAAATATTTAATTTCTTTCCATTCAAATTTGTATAATTATCAGTAATTTACCGAATAACTTGAGAACGTCACAAACAGCTAAAAATTTATGAAAACAACAATTTTATAAAAAAAAAATAAAACTGGAAAAATATGCTAATCAATTGGTTAATTTTTATCAAAAATTTAGATTTCTCAGACTATATTACTGTTTCAATATTTTAACGTCATAACACAAAAGTTTTGAATACAATGCGGATAAATAAACAAAAAATTTAAATTCAAGATAGTTGTTTCCAAAACAACAATAAATTAATTGATTTTTCATATTTAACAGTGATTCAGCTTAACATTTAAAAATTATAATAATTTTTTCGAAATCTAGAAATGAAATTCATAGAAACTCTAATAAACAACTGCCCGATTATAGAAAAATGTAATTTAAATCCTATTGACGCGGATTAATTTTAAATTAAAATGTTATAACTCATTAACTTAATTAATTTAGAAATATTAATATCCATCTTCATCAGAAAATGATTACAGAAAGAAATAACATTCGTCAATGCGCCGAGTTGTAACATACTGGATAACAGGACCGTTCCAAAATGTTAAAAAATTATTTAAATCTATGCACGTAATGTATCGAAAATATTTTATAATAAAAATCGAAGATTAAAATAAACAGATTAAAAAACTTTTTAAAGCTTAAGATGTAAAAGTCGAATCACGTCAACAAAAATATCATAATTAAATGATAATTGGTATTTTTAAAATATTTTTATTTTTAATTTTTTGTAGTTTTGGAAATTCCCTTTAAAATATTCTATAATTACTGCTTTTATTTACAATGAAATGTTATGGTTTAAAAGTGTATAGTTGCGCTTAAAAATACCCATTACAAATGTCAAGAAATTTTGAAATTTATTATATTATTTAATATTTTAAAATATTAGCAGTTAAAAATTCAGAAGTGTAAGCTAGAATACAGACAATCATAACACACTTGAATAAAGGGCGAGATGTTCAGTCCAAGCGTGAAAATGAAAGCCATGGATTTTTTGATGCCTACATACAAGAAGTGAATTAATGCGAAGGCCACTCCGTTCTCCCTGGTTGGAACCCTCTTTTCAATTTAAATAGAAAAAATCTCCTCGAAACGCCTAAAATTTTTAAATATCAAACGTGTTATAGAATGTCCCGTAATGTTAGTGTGTGCGCTTCTACCCAATTTCGGTGAATTCATTCCAGTTTCAGAAAATTATGAACAAAATTAATAAAGTATAAACTTTTATATAATATAGTTGTAATTTAAACTAATTGCTTTAATTTAGTTTGCATATGTAGTTCTGTTTTATTTAAAATCACAATTGCATTCAATTCTTCAAATAATTTGTTAGCTTATTAACCTAATTCATTCAATTATTGTTAAACTATTTAAAATTTAAATGAAATTGATAAAAATATTCAATATAATCTCCGTAATTTGATCTATTTCACTGTTTAAAACAAAATATTGCAAAATAATTTCTTTAAACATTCAAACCAAGCGGTTTTGAAGCGGCAATAAAAAATTAAAGCAATTTTCATTAAAGTAGATAAAGCAAACCAGTATAAGCCGGCTTAATTATACACAGCTATACACAATTTAAGAAGAAAAGCTAAGCCGCAGCAAAATAACAGCAAACATAAATTTCATTACAAATTCTGTTACAACATCAATAACAATATTTGAAATTATTACCAATTCTTGAAAAGCTATTACAAATAAATCAAAGTTACTTAAGTCAAATCAAACTATTAGAGTACTAGACTACTATCGATTGGAGTTTTCTATAAGTTAATTGAAAAATTTATAATCTTAATGATGTGTACATATACAAAATATATTCACAAAAACAGCAGCAAAAACAAAACAAATACAACAATAACGTGTTGTTGATTAAAACAATCAAGTTTACAAAATTCAAATTTAAGAAAACTGGATTGGCAACCTTTACTTTTTTTTTCCTCTCATATTATTTTATATTTTATTTTTTATTTCAAATTCAAAGCTAAGCTTAAAAAGATTAAAAGCTTTTCATTTCACAAAAAAAAATGTATTTATATTAGTGAATTTATCGGATTTTTAATTCAGTCGAAATCGGTACATTAGAATAGACGGTTCGTTATAAATTTATAATTATAAACTTAAATTAAAATATTAAAAATTTAGGTAAAGAATAACGGTGAAAGAATTTAAAAAAAAATGAAAACAATAACTGTACTATTAGCATTTTTTGCTATAACAATGGCAAAAAAACTTGAAGAACGTTTTGCTTGGAATGTTATGGAATATGATTGGCCAAATAGTGATGTAATGGAACATTATATAAAAACTGGAAAATATATAAAAGATAATAATTTACCATTAGGATTAGAAGTATGGGGTGATAAAATGTTTATAACGGTGCCGAGGTAAGTGAGACAGTAGTTTTATTATACATTCACAAAAAATTTTAAAGGAGCTATTTAGGTTTTATGAATTGGTGATTCATTACTATAAAAATTGATCACTTAAATAAAAAGTCAATAATCTAAAGCTTAATTATAATATTTGAAAATATACAATACATATTATTATTTAAAATTTTAGATTTAGAATAATTAAATAAAAAAACAATTATTATATAATGTTTAAAGTTGTTTATGTCACGATTAAAATTATTATAAGACAATAATATCTTATGTCACGATTAAGATTATTAACAGAACAATAAGTGGTTTTTCTCCGAAAAAACATAGTATTAGTGTATCAAAAGTCACTAAATATAAGAAAAAAATTTATGAAAATTACTTGCCAAACCTAACTTTTTTCGTAAATTTACTCTTAAGTCAACTCCTTAAAAAATTTACTAAAATATTTAAATCACTGTGTCGTCTAACTTTTGACTTTCATCGACCCTATTGCTTTTAAGGAAATTATTAACATTAAACGAAATACAATTAATTTTTTAATTTTTAACAACATTTTTTGACAATGTATATAAAAAATATTTAATTTTTAATGCAATAAACTGCCAATATTCGAGAAATCGAATTCTAGATTTTGAATTTTAAGCTTATATTTGAAGTATAATCAAATTTATTATTAATATAAAACAACTACTAAATAAAACAATATGAAGAAATATCATTAATTTTTCCTTAAAAATATTTCATGTAATACGTATAGTAAAGATTTTTTATAAGTGTATGAAATTTTTTTTATTATGACTTTAAGAAACCGCAAAAAAAAATTTATTTAATACAAAATATTTAATATCTTAACCTACATATAGCTTAATTCCCATAACATTTTAAAAAAATATTATAAAAATTAATATTTTCAGATAAATTTCAGCATATATTTGTATATTATGTATATATACAACATGAAAACCATATAATTATTATACTCGTAACTATAAATTTTTGTATTAAAATTATAAGTACTTATATAATTTAATACTTAATATTGTACCATATAATTTTCATAATTTTTCATAATTTAATATTAATTGTTATTATTATAATATTTTCTTTGTTCATATAGGTACTTATAGAATAAAAAAATAATACACTGAATTAAAAAAGGAAAAAACTCTTATACACTTATAAACTTAAATATAAAGAACAATTTCAATCCTTGAATCAATTATAATATTTCGACATATTATTGTCTCTGGGTGGCCATAATTTTATATACGTGCACAATAATGCATATAAGACTAAAATTGCCTTAAAAGAACATTAAAACTATAAACATGTGTATATGGAAATTAACATACAACATTGTTATTGACCATAATTTCCGAAAAAATTTCAATATTTATTTCATGAACTTTAATACAAAATGAGTAATATATACTTTATTATTTTTTAAATTTATTAAACATTGTTTTTATATGTATTTATAATTCAATTGAAGCTCTTTAAGTGGTGTACCATCATTTTTCCATAAAAATATTGATTTCATATGCGAAAAATATACACTGATATTTTGTTATGATAATAAGATAAAAATAAAATTTATTTATTGAAATATTTTTTTGTTAATTCTTTTAAAAATTTCTTAAATGCACAAAGTACGGAAATTTGTAGCTCGAATGAAAGCTCGCATTAAAAGACAATTTGGAAAAATGCTCGTAAAATAATTCTCAGCAGAGGAAACAAATTAATGATATTCTTTTACAAGTAGGACACATTTGTATGCATTTTAATTTAAATGGCCTCTATAGGTGTAATTTAAGAACAATTTTAACATGCATTATATACATAAGTACATTGTACATGACACACTTATTTTGCTTATAAAATGTTAAAATTATCGTATGAAGAAAATATCCTCAGCAATTTTTATGACACCATCGAAAATTAATAAAAATAATTCGAAAAAATCTCTTTATGTTTAGAGTTTCGCAAATATTGTGTGGTATTAAATTATGTATGAAAAGGTTTTTTCGGGTTTTAAAAGTTAAGACCTGAAATGGAATTGGAAAAAGAATTAGGTTTGATACACTACTTATACCATGAGGCCTACTTTAAACCTAACCAAGCTTTGTATGCAATATCCGAAAAATTCAAATATGATTATATAAAATATTAAAAAATAAGTGACTTACAATTTTTATACTAAAATCCTGAGTACAAAACAATTCTGACTTCGCCAAAAAAACCAAAGTACATTAAGCCTCTGGCACTTCAGTTGCAAGCACGTGTAAAGTATATACGGTGCATCTTATGTAGATATATTTTCCAAATTAATTTGCTTTTAAATTTTAATCTTCACAGTCCAGGTATTTGAACTATTTCCATAGGCTAAAAATAATTTTTTTTCATAATAATCAATTTGAACTCTTCTATATATTGAAAAGATTAACCTTTATAAACTATGCACTGATAACACTACACATACATTCATAGATAGAATTACTGAATATTAAAACTTTTTATTTCTTTAATATTTTTTTGTATTTTTCACCACAAATTCACAATATAAAGAAGAAAAATAATAACTTTTTTATATTTTTGTTTTTCAATATAATTTTAATAAAATTAATAATTTGTATAGTGATGCAAACTCAATATTTCATATATGTATACTTTAACTTTCTTTATTGAATCATTAACGATTTCATTCGTAGAAAAAAAATTCTGTTTAAACTTATTTTAGGAAATTCCAATATAAGTTTTTTTTCATAATAAAACAAAATTAAAATAATATAGAATTGCGAATAATAAATGAAATTCACGTTAATTGATATCATTTTTCACACAAAAAATATTTCAAGGTATATACAAACAAATAATAAAATTTTTGATGAAATTGTGATCAATCCTAAAAAGATAGATCAACGGCTGTAATCACTCTTGTATTATACAACACTATTATTATATATGTTTGTTTTTGTAGTAACACTGTTAAAATAACTCTTTAATAATTAAAACTTTTTTTTTTTTGTATGTATGTTCCGACCAAAATATTCTTTTTGACTAGGAAACCTTTATCTCTAATAAAAATAGAACGACTTATAAACTATTGATGAGCCAGTTCATGCGTACTTCATTTCCAGTGAGTATCAGCTTCTTCGCTTCCTCATTTTAATGGTTCGTTAGTCTTTCTTCATGTTTAGAGGCAAATCTTTTGATTTCACTCTCAACACTACTAATTTTAAGGTCCCTATGTAGGTCTTTATTGCGAACATACCATGGTGCGCCAACAATCTGCCTAAGGATCTTATTTTGAAATCTTTGAATAATTTCCACATTAGTTTTTTTCGCACAACCCCAGAGTTGGATTCCGTAAATCCATATTGGTTTTAGCACCTGTTTATAAATTAAGATTTTATTGTGGATAGACAGTTCGGAATTACTGCCCAACAGCCAATTTAGTTTTCTTGATTTTATATTTAGTTGCTCCTTTTTCATTTTTATGTGCTCTTTCCATCTTAACTTCGCATCCAGAGTCATACCCAGATATTTTGCAGAATTCGAATATGGTATTGTTTTAGAATCTATTGTGATCGGGAGTGTTGAAATGTTTTTGTTTGTGAAGTTCACATGTGCGGATTTAGACTCATTCAGTTTTATGCGCCATTTCTTTGCCCAGCGTACAACGTCATCCACTGCAGCTTGTGCCTTTTCAGTTGATGAATTAACATTGTCAGCTACTGCTAGCAGTGCGGTATCGTACACGAAATTCTCTGTTCGTCAAGTATGAGTTTAGTATTTCATAATACTGAAATGGGAGGTCACGATGTATTTTGAACTTCAGGCCTTCCAGCCAGACCTTATCGAAGGCTTGCGACACGTCAAGAAAGACTCCAGTACAAACTTGTTTTGCTTCGAGAGCTGATTCAATTTCATTGGTTACCCGATGTACTTGCTGAATAGTCATATGACCATCCCGGAATCCAAATTTATGTGAAGGTATTAGATTTCGATGTTGAATAGTGGGAGCTAATCTTCTGTACAACAGTTTTTCAAAGATTTTTGACATAATTGGCAGCAGCGATATAGATCTGTACGACGAGACGTCAATAGGAGATTTGCCCGTTTTTAATATTACTATGATTTCTACAATTTTCCATATTCTAGGAACGTACATTAACTTAAAGCAGGAGTTTATAATTTCTTTGAATCTCAATAACGCGATTTGGGGTAGGTTCTTCATGATTTCACGAGTGATGAGATCGAAGCCCGGGGATTTTTTGTTACTGATGTTATTAATTTCAGATTTGAGCTCGGCTAATGTTGTTAACGGAACTTTTACCACGTCGTTTTTATAAATATAACTGGTATCCTTTTCAGTTTTCGCCCACTGGCCGTTTGGTCTTTTAATTGGCGGGTCCTGGATTTTTGGACGCCGGATTTTTTGGTTGCCTTCCATAGTGAGTAATCTGTTTTTTTATCGTTGCCAGTTCGCTTAGATACTTTCTGATGGACTCGTTTTTAAATTCAGTAACCATCTTTCTTAATTTGTTGTTTCATTGATTAACTTTTGTTTTGTCACCTGGATATCTAGTGATTTGCCACTTTTTCCTAGCCTTTCTTTTTTCTTTAATTAACTGTACAATTTCAGAAGGATAACTCTTTTGCACGTTCTTTGACTTAATTGCAGGGGTACTTTCGAGTGCAGCTTGCTGTATATCCGCCGAAAGTTGCTCGACCTGTTTGTCCAGTTGTGCGCATGTGAGAATTGCGTGCCCAGGCAGTGAGAAAAATATTAGTTTTTCCTTGAATACAGTCGGCTTTTTTATTTATCAATCGGGGAGCAGTTTCCTTTTCAATAAAGTTGTCACTAATACTCAGTGTTACTGGAGTGTGATCAGAATTTAAGTCGAAATGTGATTTAATTTCCAAGAAGTTGCTATTGATTCCTTTAGCGACAAAAAAGTCCAAAAGGTCAGGTTTTTGTTTCGATCAGATGGCCAATATGTTGGGGAGCCTGTTGATAGGAAATCACAATTTATTTCTCTTGCAGCGTTAAAAAGGGCTCTGCCCCTAGGAGTTACCAGTCTCGAACCCCAGAAATTGTGCTTAGCGTTGAGGTCGCCACCAATTATGAAATTGTTATTAAGGTGACTAAATATATCTACAAACTGTTCCTTCTGAATGGAAAAGCCAGGTCGACAGTAAATAGCAGATACCTTGAATATTCTATTTTTATTTTTAGTTTGGATACAGATTGTTGTGAGTTGGATACTTGATGTTTCGATTTTGTAATCTTCATACGACAATAGATTTTCCTTGACAAAGATTGCTGTACCTCCATGTGCAACGTCGTTTGGAAGGGAAGTAAAGTAGAAGTTAAAATTACGAATATAACATATGACTGGTTAGTAAGATGTGCCTCGGGTATTAAGCAAATGTCAATATTATAGTAGTTAAGAAATATTTCTAGTTCTTTTAGACGGGATAATAGTCCGTTTGCATTCCAGTTATACGTAAGGGACGAATAGGAGTCATTATTTATGCTTATTCTTAAGTTGGAGATGTCTTGGCTTGCTTATTTCATAGATAATTTTTTCATAGGACTTTTTCTGCCCGTCCAGCCTTCTAATAATATAATTCAACAGCACCTTGATCGAGTCTTCTTCATTTTTCCTATGATTCTTAACAATATACGAATATGTATTTTCAATATCTTTGCTATGACTTGGGATACTTTTTATGACGTCCTTAGTATTTTTAACCTTGTCTTCTGAAGAACTTTTTGCCTTTTTTTCTTGATGCGAAAGAAAGTTTTTTTCAGATAACAGCTTGAGTCTCTTTTTCTGTTGATCTTTTGCGAACGGGCAACCCCTATAGCTTGCGGGATGCTCGCCCCGACAGTTAAAATTTAATGAAATTATTATATTCATTTATGTTCATTTTCTTTATGAGTATTTGCATTAACAACGGGTTACACAATTCGGTAGATATCTTTAAGCTTTTTAATGTGAGTAAGCATTCCCTTTCATGTAACGACTATATTGCATTGCTATTTTCTGTTGTTAATGCTGATTGCGGTAGTAGCTTATTTATTAGCAATGTTATTAGAAGCCTGAAGTTGACATTTAATGTAGTTCCTATCAAACTTTGATTACCCAATATTGGGTAATTTTATTGCTGAATTTTATATTGTTACATTCACCTTTTCGTCGCTTCACAGCTATTCAACTCTTGCGTTTCCCCAATTAATTGGAACACAACTGCTTGGTTCTCTTCTTCTAACATGTTGAAAACATTCATATTATATACTTCTTCAAACCGGTTGCATGTAATTGTCCTTATCTCGTCATAATTTTTCTTAACTAGTTGCCATAGTTCTCTTATGTTATCGTACTTCACTTGACAGCATACAAAAACTTTAGTTTCTTGAAACCTTTGTGTTACTTTATTCTTTTAATTATATTTTGTAATGAATCAATTTGAATTTCTTAATTAATTTTCTCAGATTTCCTGTGGTAATTACGGCCAATCAATTAAATTGTTTAAAAATATGTTATGGTATTCTTGGTATTTGCCTCTACTTTTATTATAATAGTCTGCTGTAAAATAAATGATCCAACTTGCTGCCATAAGTTTTCAAAAAATCATATTTTTTCCATAATATATGGTTTTACCAAATTCTCTGGTAATTTTTCTTCGAACTTTTTCCAATTTTCATTTACCTTAAGGTAATCTGCTGTTTTCCGACTCCGATAAGGAACAAGTTTTGAAATTTCAGACAATACGTGGCATTTCTTCACCTGTTCTATGCTTCTTATCTGCCAATGATCCCATACTTAATGTTTGTTAAAATATTTACTGTGTTAATATTAAAACTAAATCTTGTTCGTTTTGCTTAAAATCTGATGCATGTCCGAATTTCTATGTTGAATCTGAAAAAAAAATAGCTATATTATTGTATTATATTAAATACAAAAATTTATTAAAGTTATTATTTTAAAAATACATTTGGGATTAATCAGCAATAATTTCGACATTTTGAATTATTCTAATATTATTATTATTAGGTTATTTCTTGCAAATGAGTAAACTAATTTTCAATTTTTCTGAAATTACTAATATATTGTGCCAATTAGCGTATACTAACGTAAACATCTGTAATATAAATGTACCTAAATAATAATTCAACCACCATATCATAATAACATTCTAATTTCCTGACTAAAACTACAAATGAAAGCTTATTATGTTTTATTAACTAAAGCACATATAATAAATTACATACATATATAAAAACAAAATTATATACATATATAATTTTAAATAGGCTTCAGATTATTTTCGCTATGCACATTGGTTTTTTTTTA